GTTCAGGGTTTAGGGTTCAAAAGGGATACTCCTGAAGGACGCCTTGAAAGGGATTGTAACGGTATACCGGGCTTTTAAAGGGCTTAGGAATTCTGTGTAAGGGATTCTACTTTCCCTGCCGCGTGTTTTTTTCCAGGAGAAGGCCTCCGCCGCGACGAGCGCCATTCAGGTTCGACTGATTCGGCCTTGCAAAGTTCATGGGTCCCGTTTATACTAACCTAANNCCCTCAACCCTAAACCGTGCATTATCCTCCCAGGTTCCTGCCTATCTCGGGTTACACAGGGATGGTTAGGACTAACTAAAAAGCCTAGTTGCGGCTAGCATAGGAAGACCTTAAGCTACCCGCCAGACCCCGAATGCTAAACCCTGATCTCTCTTAACTCTCTTCTATGCCCTGTAGAGCCCCCAAGCACAACCTGTGGCCTAAGCTCTTGATGTAAAAAGGCTTTTTCCTTCCTATGGTACTGTGAACTACGAAAAGCCCAACCCACCCCGTGAAGGCTGCGCAAAGGCAGAACGCTGCCTTGCAGACAGAACTTGCTGCCAAGCTTCAGGAGGCTTAGTCGGGCTTGGGGTTTAACGTCTGAAGGGGTAGGGTTTAGGGTTTAGGACCTGGGATTTAGGGTGAGATTTGGAGGACGGGGATGGTTTTGGGGGTGAGATTTCAGGGATTGGGGGGTTACTTATGGGTTGATGAGAGCAAAAGGTTCAGGGAAGGTATTGGGTCAGGGTCCATGCCAGCATTGAGACTTGGAAGGTTGAGTTTAAACCCATCATCACGACACCTAGAAAGCTCCACGCTCCCTCTTAAGCGTCAGCAAGTAGATGGTGCGCGGACCCTCCGGGATAAATACCTGATGATAGGCGCATGGCCATTCTTCTGAAACATAAACTGGGTGGGACCTCCACAAGAATAAACCCTATACGTAAACCCTAAATAAGAAGGCCAGGGTGATCTCTAGGATTCAGGGTTTGGAGGGCGCAGGGTTCCTTAGTGGGGTTCTTCCACGGCTTGGGGACTTTTGCCTTGTTGGAGTTCCGCCTTTTCGTCTTGGGGACCCAAAGCAATGATTTGATTCTTGGGGGGGGGCAAAGAGCAACCAAGTAAATTCTGTGTTGGTGTCGAGGTTCTTTTCCACTCTTCCATGCCCTACAAGGTTCCTGAAAACAATTGTTAATTTCTGTTACCTAGAATCCTAATATTTAGCTGAAACTATCATTTCTACTGGGGTTCCAAATCCCTTAGAGTTCCTACTATGTTCCCTTGGGTGTATGAGGGTCTCGGCAAAGTATGTGACTCCACATGAACTCAGTATTGGCCTGTTTTGCGGCCAATACAATCACTTGAAGCAAGAGGCTCACTTGTGCGCTTGAATGTTCAGGCATGTCTGCTTGACCCCTAAACCCTAAAGCCACAATGCTATTTCTGTCAGATTGAGCAGCAAGCGTCCGAGCCAGCTGGGAACCCTCGAGCTCCTTAAACTTAAGCATGTAAACAAGCTTGAGGCATAAATCCCCTTACCTTTAAGCCCAGTTACCTGCAGTATCCTCTAATAAGTAGGTACAACCCATAAAGCTGTAGGTAAGGGGGGGGTTACAGGCAAACCCTGAACCCTAAGCAAACCTTAAGCGACGGAGGTGGAAGGCCGGGTGGCGGCCAAGGATGCCGAGCATTTGGGCTTAATATAGGGGCCTAAGTAACTACCACTATTATGGTTCCATATTCCTTATATAATCATGGTCCATGGTACCTCAAATGGGCTTCAAAATCATATTGGTAACCATTGAGGCTCCCGTAGTACCTGGCATGGCTTAAGGTTCGGGACTGACGGATTCGGGATTAAGGGTATTAGGTCTCCAAGAGCTTTTGAACAAATCGGGGATATGGGGTCGTAGCAATTTAGGGTTGAGGAATTTTGGGCTCAAAGGTTAAGATAAGTGCAAGGTTTTGGGGGTTTAGGGCTCGCTAGTTTAGAGCTTAGGGCTTAGGGCTGGGGGAACGAAGGACTTTCGGTTTTTCGGATTTTGGCTTTGGGATACAGATTGCAGGGATTTGGGATTTGGGGCTTGATCCTCCAGGGACTTGGCAGTGTTGGGCCGAAATCTTCGGACAGTTGTAGATCCCTCCTTCCCGGTAATGAACCCCCCTCCCACACACAAAGAGAGTACGGGGATTTCCAAAAACAAGGGCTTTCGGGTTCCTTTCTCAGGACTGCTCTGCGATGCCATCTCATACGTCCCATACCCCTAAACCCATCCGAACTATTGTCTATATGAGCTATAGTCTAAACTCCTTAAAGGGGGGTTATATAGGGGATTATATAGGGGACTATAACTAGGGGTTATTAACGGGGGTACTAGGAGTTTAGACTACAGCTCAAGTATTAAGATAGTAGTTTCCATTTTCTTTTCAATTATCCACATATTATACCTCTGTATTACCCCTATATAATCCAATCCATATATAACCCCTATATAGACTATAGTCCTGTCAACCCGACGTATGCAAGCACCTGGGAGCCCAGGGAGTTGGAGACCTACCGGCAGAGCCACAACACCGCCTCCTTGCAAACGCTGCAATCGGCTGCGGAGGCATTCTGCACTTGAGTCAGCATGCTGCTGGAGATTTTTGGAAACCTCAGGGAAACTGTTTGGGGTCCTTAACATAAGGTTTTTAGTTGTTTTTTTGCGTATATGGGGGGGAACCCATATTTGAAAAATATCGACTCAAAAGCATGTTGCCTGACCCTGATACCCGCACAGGCAAGGGTGCAAGCTCAGAAGCATCAGAACAAGCAGCACATGATGAAGTCCAATTTGATCCAAATGCGAGACTGGGCTGAAACCTTTTGGAGTTGGGACTGCTTACTGGTGATTAGAAGCGAATAAGGGAATATCCCTATATAACCCCTTTATACTATTTTCCCTTATTCGCTATCCCCAGTAAGACACTGTCACATGAAGATTTCGGCTGAGGAGACTTGCAGTCATTCTGCTCGGTCTGACCATGTGATTCTGAGGTCTTCAGGCGGAGGTTCATGATACGGCGGCTGTGGCCGAATCCTCTATGTCAGGGTCTGCGGCCGCCCAGCCCTTACTACAGATGCCGCGAAAGAGGCTCCTGCATACCCTGCTTGGAGGGCCCGGGGGACTTAGTAAGTAGGAAAGTAGCGCATCTAACCCATATAGCAACCATACTTATCCCCATTATTAACCTAGATATTCAGTCCCCCTGACCCTCCAAGTTAGGGTTTAAGGGTTGAGGATTTCGGGAACCGGGCATAGGGCCGCCAGCTCAGGATATGCGCGCGCTGAGCAAATCGATCACCAAAGCCAAGGCGCTTGAAGCGGCGGCTCGGCCGTACGAAGGGATATGAAGCCCCCTTTATTTTGGGTTTAGGGTCTAAACTTCTTAAAGGGGTTTATATACGGGATTCAAGAGGTGACTATTAAGGGTTATTAAGGGAAACTAGGAGTTTAGACTACAGCTCATATAGGATACTGGAAAAGAAAATGGGAGCTACGATGTTGGTTAGAGTAGGGACGTCAACCAGCAATTCAGTGCTTTCGATTTTGGACTGACTGTTCCTGCGATCCTCCCTATCCTGCTAATCTTACCTTTTACTGCGTTGAGATGTACTCCTGGAGCATCACTCAACTGTGCAAGTTACACCTCAAATGCTTGCCTACATTGTTGCAGAGAAGGGTTTAGGGAATAGCACCAACGTGGCACATTTTCGGGGTTCGGAATTATCATGTAATTGCCTGTGTAATGTACACAGAACCCTGCGACTTGGGCCTTTATATCAGAATCTGTATACACCATGTAGTTTTCTGTCGTCCTTTCTCTTGAATTCCCCGTCATTCTGATCACGAAGGCACCTAAAGCCTAAACCCTTCTCATTAGACCACGGCCCCTAGGTGAAACTGTCGAAAGCCAGCAGGCAGACAGCAGTATCTCGGCCCGGAACATCAGGTTTCGGGTTTAGGATTTTAGGATTTAGGGTGGTCTGGCTGTGGGGGTTGGGCTGTCAACCTCAGGTTTTATGGTTTGCGGTTGAGGGTGTACCCATTGGGGGAATATTAGGGTTATATTGGGATACTGAAAAAATGGAAACTATTATATTCTACTAAGCCATTGGGGTATTAGGGTTTTGGGGTTGATAGGGTGTGGGGTTCAGAGTGGGTTTAATGTTGCACGCCCTTTAATCAAAAGTAAGGACCTCCCCTCCCTTCTCCGTGGCAACTGGCGGACAGGGGCAAATTACAAATACGGACCCTCTTGAAGGGTCCCGTGGTTCTGAAGCGGTCCATGGCTTGAAATTCCTTCAACCGTCGCCAAAACTCATTACAGAGGATGTCCTCACTAAAGGAGTTGCAACAGAAGGGTTTACGGCTTTGTGTTTGGTACTTGCAGTGTAGGCTTAAAGGTTAATGGTGGGCACAAAACTCACATGGAGCCCCATGTGCCCCCTAAACCCTAACCCCACTGGAGTCTTGTTATAGGGCACTTTTGCAGGTTGCATGATAGTTTGGCGGATAGGATGGTTAGGGGGTTATATAAAGAGTATATTGGGATACTGGAAGGGAAAATGGAAACTACTACATCTTATTTGGGGTTTAGGGTTTAGGGTGTGCGCGGAATGGGGGGTTTAATTAGGGCTTAGATATACATGTACCTAGACCCTCCTCCTGCCTTCTATTAGGGCCTAAGTACCTACTATTAGGGACCATATATCCCCAATTAGGGGTACAAGAAGGGTCCTGGTAGTTGCTGGGGAACTCCATGAGAAACATGCCGGCCTCTGCCTGTCATGCTGTCGATCTCGATTGGTTGGCCGCAAAGACAGCAGGCTTCGAAATTCTTTCGTAGACATATAGTCCCCCTTAGGTAGATAGAATATGGCTTTGGGTATATTATAATAAGATCCCCATATATCCCATATTCTATCTACTTAGGGGGGACTATACGGCTAAATAAGTCGAACCTGAGGATTATTCGACGGCTCTTGAAAATACTGCATTCCTTGTTCTGGTTTTGGTTAGTAGCACAGGGACAATCGTCGTGCGCGGAAAACCTAGCAGAAAGATGATCTCCCCTACTACCCTCCCCCTAGACTAAGCTTTCATCCTAGGTTCCTCCTTGAATTCCAGAGAATTTACACTCCCAGAAACTAACATGGACACCCAAATAAGGCCCTATAAAGACTACAGTCCTTCTAAAAGGGGACTATATGGGTTTCCATGTTAGTTGGGGAGAGTGTAGAAATTTAGATGTTCATGATTTAGGGCTACTAAGTAGGCTGAAGTAAGGTCGTTCCAGAAGCTTATGGGGCCATAGTTCGTCAAGGTCAAAGCCTGTTTAGGGTTAAGGGTACCCTGAACCCTAAATCCAAAACTCGAAAGCCCTGAACCCTAATTACACCTTAAACATCCTTAAACCTTAGATCCCAAACCATACCACAAGAAAATCCTGAAACCCTGCACCCTAAACCCTACACCCAAAACCCTATGCATCCTAAACCATACCACCAGAAAGTCCTAAAACCATGAGCTCTAAAGCCTACACCACAAACCCTAAACCCTCAACCCCAAACCCTAAACCTTACACCCTATACCTTAAACCCTCCAATACCCACTAGAGAAGCTCAGGAGATGATGAAGACTGCCAAGAGCTTGGAGGCCAGCTATGAGGCCGAGTCCAGGACAGTGGATGGTGACGCCAAGGCCAGGAAGTCAGGGGATTTAAAGGGTTTAGGGTTTGGGGGTTTAGAGTTTAGGGGTTTAAAGGGTTTAGGGTTTGGGGGTTTAGGGTTTAGGGGTTTAGGATTTAGGGTTTAGGGTTTGGGGGTTTAGGGTTCAGGGTTCGCCCAACGCCCAGGGTTCTCCCACAGCCCAGGTCTGATCGATCGCGTCAAGTTTGGCTCGGCTTGGAAATTTGGAGGGGCGGGGTGGGGGAGGGCGGGGGGTAATTACGTTCGCTTCAGCGACAGCCATCCTAACCTGTAAAATGCAGTATTTCAGCAACCCTCCTCCAAAAACACCCCATTCACGCTGGACAGCATTCGATTACCAGACCAGAGCATCCCTGCGCAAACCATAATGACGTTCATGTTCAATAGTATCCGATTACCAGAACATACATGCCCAAACTATAACAACGTACATGTTCCAGAGCACCCCATTACAAGACCATCCGAGCGCAAGCCATTAAACGTTTGTGTTACAGGTGCATCCATGTTCCAGAAACATGGCGCCCAGTGGGACGAAGTCTATGTCCTTCCCAGGAACCCTGATGCAAAAACACCGCGCGTAATGGGACAAAAGGCACGTCATATGCGAACAGAAAAACGCTTGACTATCAGTGCTGTGCTTCATTTGCTGCACGCTTTTCGACCTGTAATACACAGTACGCACTTTCTGCGGGTACGAGGTAACACTTCTAATTGGCATTGTGCCAAAACCATAGGTTTGCACTTTGCAATTCCTAAAATGTGCAAAATTCTCATCTTCAATCAAGGTTGCGCGCGGAATTTTACAAGAAAATTCCGCGGAGCCATGACCTTCCGTTTCTCGAACGCACAATACCGCTCAAGCTGAATACACTGTAAAACGCAGTAGTGTCTGTACTTTTCACATTGTGTAATATGAAGCTCGCATGGATCTTCCAGAGAACCAACTGCGCGGGGTTTAGGGTTCAGGGTTTAGGGGCTTGAAGAGCTTCAAGAATACATATAAGTTGGGTTTAGAGTTTAGGGGCTGTAGGCATTCAAGGGTACATGTTCAGGCCTAGGGTTAAGGTAAAGGTTTAGGGAGTAAGTTGTAAGGGTACAAATTTGGACATAGGTTTAGGGTTGAATATAGGTTTCGCTCAGGGTCTAGGGCGGGTCAGGGATTCAGGTATAGGGTTAGGGGTTTAGGGATATAAGGGCCTGGAGGTTCCTTGTAAGGTTTATGGGGATACAGGGCAGAACGGAAAAGAACATGGAACCTATGATAATTAAGCTGCGTTGTATGGTTTAGCTGTTTTGTTCGGATATACGACTTGGGGTTTAGGATCTACAGTAGGGTGTAGGATGTATACTCTACGGGTGTAAGGGCCATACAGGGCTACCTGAGAGTCTGTCGGGTTTATGCCGTTTAGGGTTTAGGGATTGTTGGGGGGATTGTATAGTGGAAAAAGGTGGAGAACTAAATGAACAAGAACATTGAATTTTCAGTAGGTGTTTCCTAGGGCTTAGGGTTTAGGATTTAGGGCTGAGGGCTCGGAAATAGGTGATCACATAGGGCTTGTTGAGGGGGGGTTAGTTATAACGGGCCTATATTGGGGACTGGAAAAGATAATGGAAGCTACAGTTATGTACGTCATGAAGGATGAGGGATTGTGTCCGGGAGGGGCTTAGGATTCAGGGCTTGGGGATTGAGGATGTCTAGGGTTTGTAGGGCCCGAGGATAGACTTCAGTGTGTGTCGTGTTAGTAACACAAAGTGGCACCCAACAATTATGGAAGTCTCATTACAAGGAGCAGTTGTAGGCTTGTAGGCGAGTGAGGGGTAACCTGGCAACTAAGCAGGTGCAGCTGTGCTTCGTCATGGGGTCCATGGAGGGCTCCCGCACGGCCTTACCCTAAACCTCTAAACACAAAACTTTATCCCAAACCCTAAGGCCCGAATCCCCTCAACCTAAACCACGAAACCTTATCCTAAACCCTAGGCTGTGTTGAGGGATGGTAGCTCCTCATAGCATTGCAGGGAACTAGATTCAGGATATTGAATCTAAATTAGGATGGCGCAGGGACCCTCTGCAGACAATACTCTCGGTTATGGGTGAGGGTTTGGGGTTTAGGGTTCCCGAGCTAATAGATTAGTTTCCGGGAGGGTAGATGGATCATTTTAGAATTTGGTATCCTGGGCAGGAAGAAACATCCAGACTAGCACAGGGGTCCACAAACTAATTGGAGAACCTGTCTGCGGGTTAAAGGCGATGCTTCTGCAGGCCTCAAGAAGTGGGAGCTTGTGAAAGTTATCCCTAGGTGATCCTGAGGGCAACCCCCATGTTCTCCCTCTTATGCCCAGTCAGGTTTGAGAGCTCTAGTGCGTTCAGGATTTGTTTTACACCCAAAACCACAGTATCAATCTGTAGAATCCTGATCATAAGGATTCTCTCAAAAAGCGGATTTCCATTTAAGATAACCCGCCACGTAGCTATTTAAGTTCCTTGGAAACCTGCAACCCCCAAGCCCCAAACCCCAAACCCTAAGCCTTAAACCTCCAGGCTTTAGACCCTCAACCCTAAGCTCCTCAATTGAGTAGTATTTTATTTGGTATTATGGTACGCAATATATAGAGTAAGATTATGTCCTCCTTTTGGGTATAGTATTTTATGTAATCTTACTAGGTTCAACCACCAAAAAACATTACTGAATTGCGGAGGTGGACCAGCTGATGAGCAAGGAAGCAGCTGCAGCTCGCCGAATCCAAAAAGCGAGTCAAGAGGTTTGGCGGGTTGCTCGGGAATCCCTTTCAAGAGATCAATGTTAGGGATCCTTTATGCTTCTTTCTGTTCGCAAAACACTTTCAAGTGGCTCCAGACGCATCAGCTGGCTCCCGTAAAGGCAGAGCAACTCTACAGTCTCCGCAAACAAGACCATGTCCTTGTCTGTACGTCCTCTGTTGAATCCAGACTCAGTTGCCGCAGCCTTGCGCACTCACCTTCAGCCTCAGAACCGTTCCCTGAATTGTTTTCGTCACTTTGCCTCGTCCTGCCAAGCCATTTGAATTTCCAGAGGACTTCCCTCCTAATTTGCCGTAGACTTCGGTAGCTCGCTGTCTCACTTGTAAAGTCACCACCAAGCCATTCGGCGGGGTGGTTTACTATGGATCCATGGACGCGACCTTTATGCTTTTTGGGGTAGGAAATTCCTTATGTATATGTAAGAAGGAGCTTTGTTCTTCCTAGGGTGATGTGAACTAAGTGGTGGGTTGCTGGGGAATCCCTTTCAAGGGGTTGGTTTGTACAGTTTAGGGTTTAGGTTTCATGGGTTGCCGTATTCTACTAACATTTCAGGCGGCCAGTTTCCGCCATATAGGCCTTACATAGCCCATATACACCTCGGTTCCCCATACAAGCCTTGTCTAGGCCTTCTGTAATGTCACCCGCCTAGTAACTCCCCCACCTGACATTTCCCTTAATGCATGGTAGTTTCCCTAACTAGGGGGATCCCAATATAGACCCCCAAACACCATAGTCCTTATTATGGGGACCCCCACAAAGGTACCCCCAATTTTGGGAAACCCCCACATGGAGTGTTGTCAAACTTATGGGGCGGGGAGAGGTTTTAGGGTTGAAGTGCGAGGTTGCAATGTCCTTTTTTAAAACTGGGTAGGTCCCTGGGATATTTAATATTTTTCCCTAATGGCTTTAATAAGGGACCCTATATACTAATATTGTACAAACGGTTTTAGGGGCCAACCCAGAAAAGGACAGAAAGGTTCCCTCTCTGGGTTCAATGTTGGCTTGCGGGCGGGTTTGGGTACGGAGTTTTTGGGGGTTGGAGCGTAGGAGCTTCAACCTCAGTCGGGTGGTATATCTTTGTCCCCACCTAGGTTGCAGAAAGTCGACGCAGCATTTATCACGCGCCTTAAGGTTTGGCTTTTGGTAGGGTTAAGGGTGTACATGCAAGAATGCATGGTGGTGGTGATAATGCTGGGAAAATGGCATCCGCTGCTGTTTGGGAATCCACTGGGGATGCTCTAGTCCCCAATAATGCTTCAGATTTGATGGTACCCTATTCTCCATAAGCCCTCAACTTGCTTGGTTCAACCACCAAAGAAGACACACTAACCATGGACCTTGAACCCTCAACCGCTAAGCCCTAAACCCTCAACCCCTAAACCCTTAACTACAATAACCTAAACCCTCAGAGCCCAAACCCCAAGCCCTCAACCCCTAAACCCTACAGCACCCCTTGTGCAGGAGGAGGAGGCCGAAAGTGAGTCCCGGACTCAGGCTACATGAGTTTCAGGAATCTTTAAAAGGGTTCACGGTTCAGAGGGCCCCATATAAGAGGGACCTCTACCCAACGATTCCCTATGACCTCCCCCAGGAGACCATACAAACATAGATGGGGTCCCCTTACCAAGGGAACCAAAACCCTGGAAATTCTTGGGGTTCCCCTATTATCTCTATAGGGATGTTATAAAGGACCCTAAGAATTTCCAGGGTTCGGGTTCCCTTGGTAGCTCTTCCTGAATGAGTGCTCATGTTGACTTGAAGGGAGTACCCTCCCCCGAACCTAGGCTTGAGGGAAATGTGGGCTGTAGGGTTTAAGGAGAATCAAATGGGAGTAAAATGGAACCTGGGGGTATCTAGGGAGTTACAAGGAGAATTTCCCATATGGTTTCAGACTAGGGGTTGTATCAGCATAATTGAGAAACAAGTGGACAAAGACATTTTACAGGGTGTCCAGGTATGCACGTTACGAAACACTCGGGCTATAATAATCGCTACAGGTACTTGACATATCACTCGCTTATAACTTGGGTTTTTACCCTACCTGGCCTCAGACTAACATGGACGCACGTACAGGCTCCTTTCAATGGAAGGTAGTCTCGGGCCTCTGAACCCTGAAACTTAATCCCTAAACCCAAATCCCTAAACCTTAATCCCCAAACCCTATAACCCTAAACCCTAATCCCTAAACACTATAAGCCTTAATCCCTCAACCCTATAAACCTTAATCCCTAAACCCTAAACCTTATAATCCCTAAACCCCAAACCGCGGGCTTCTATTGCGCCGCCAAAAGTTGCGATGTCTCGATGCCAGCACAAACCGCGGACTGCTGCTATTGCCGTTGTGACTTTTGGCTACAAAAAACTGGAGATCGCATTTTAGGATTATAGTCAATCAGGTGCTATATTTGGGCCTCTCTTTTCTTGAAAAACCCGCATTTGTGTCAGTTCTGTGACATACCGCCACACGTCTTATATATAGTAGTTTCCATTTTCTTTTCCATTATCACAGTATAACTCCAACATAACCCTATATACCCCCTATATATCTGAAGCATTCCTATGAGGATCATAGTGCCTTTGTTCGCCTTTGAAATCGGTTTGCCTTCGTCGTTGTCAGTACCCTAAGCCCGGATCCTTAACCCCTAAACCTTACGAGATGCTTAGAGGGCCAGGGGGATTTAATATTGGTTTTAGGGTTTAGGGCTTAGGGTTTAGGGTTTAGGTTAATAGCCCTTCTAGCCCATGTAGTAACCATACTTATCCCAGTATCAACCTACTTATTCAGTCCCCTTGACCCTCCAACCCTAAACCCTAAGCCCTTAATGATATGGTAGTTTCCATTTTCGTTTCCATTATAACCATGTAACCCCTAAACCTTACGAACCCTAAACCCTAAACCTGAGGTATGATGATGCAAAAAGACGTGTGGAAAACGTGTACATGGCCCTACGGGCAGAGGGTGGCAACTTGGAGGTTGACACTTGACTGCACAGGCTTTAGGATTTTATGGTTTAGGGTTTAGGGTTAAGGGTTTAGGATTTAGGGTTTAGGGTTTAGACTTTGGGATTTAGGGTTTAGTGATTAGCGTTTAGGATCTATAGGGCTACTTGACAGCCCCAAGCGCTGTCTCAGGTGGCTGTGGAGCTTGCAAGTGGGGGTTTCCATGCCATGAATAAGGGTTCCTCCACATGTGAACTGCTTTGCCGTTTGTTCCCCACATTCACTCTCGTGTTCTAATTGTTATTGCATGTCGCCCGCCATCCCTGCGTGCTCTTCATTTTGGACGCGATCTATGTGAGTGAAAAATCGCGCTCTCGGTCGGAGCAGCCTCAAGAAATTGTCGTTTTGTCACGTCGTAATCATCCAAAAGTAGGCCGTCCTCCCTTTAAAGTAGTCTTGCTAGAGTGGTCTGTAACCGAACTGGTCGCGCCCCGGTTTTTGAAAATCGCGCTCCCGTGCGGGACATCCTCAAAATTCCATTTTTAGCTTACTGAAAAATTGCGCTCCCGCTCGAGACAGTCGGATTTCTTGCGTTTGTTTCATCTTTATATCTTCAAAAATCGCGCTCCCGTGCGGAGCATCCTCAAAATTTCGTGGATCTATCTTGTCAATTCTCTCAAAATCAAGCTCCCATGCGGAGCATTCGAGAAATTTTGATGTTGACGAAGGCTATACTGACAGTTGCACTGACTGAGTAGCGGTGTACTCCGCTCGAGGTCGTCTTCTTCGTTCAAAGTGGTGGTCTTGAGCGGAGTCCCCCGGTAGCCAATCGGTATAGCTTTCGTCGGCTTCGGCGTTCAAAAACTGAGCGACGAAGTCGACGAAAGCTATACTGATTGACTACTGGGGTACTCCGCTCAAGGTCGTCTTCTTCGTTCAACATCGCTGTATTGAGGGGGGTATCCCGGTGGTCAGTCAGTATAGCCTTCGTACTGCCTTCGTCGACTTCGTCGTTCAAAATCGCGCTCCCGTGCGGAGCATCCTGAAAATTTTTAAGAAAATCGCGCTCCCGTGCGGAGTATCCTGAAAATGTTGAGAAAAATCTCAGTTCCCTTGATTACGTGGAGCCTGAAGCCCTCATAATGCCACTATCGCAAGATCGCCGCCCGAGATGAGCGCAGAAACTCTGAACAAAGAACCTGAAATTGTTAAGGTGCGTCTACACAAAAACTCATTTGAAGCCCTATATCATATGACCCTCTACAGACCGTAGGTAACCCCGTATAAACCTTGTAGCAGTCATGTATATATATCCATATATGTGTATAGACATCTCTCTCTATCCTACACAACCCTATGCAAATCCTATGAAGCCAGTACCTAATCCCTACATAACCCTAATACAAAGGCTATCTAGCCCCTTAGGGGATGTAACCATGGCCCCTAAAGAGGTCTCCTACTTGTTTCCTGGGTCCTAACTATGGGCCCTTAGTTTGGCTTGCGGGGCTTTATACTGAAAGGGCCCATGCTCGGAGCTTAGGCTTCCAACCTTGCTTAAACCCTTAAAACCTACACCCCAAACCCTTAAACCGCGAACCCCTAAACCCCGAACCCTAAATCCTAAACCCTAAGCCCCTACTCCCAACAACCTTGACCCCCAAAAACCTAAAACGCCAAACTCCAAAACTCTAACCCTAAACCATCCACCGCGAAACCTTAACCCCCCCCCCCCCACAACCCCCTATGGTCCCCTTTAAGAAGATAGAATAGGCTTTGGGTTTATTATATTAAGATCCCCCTATACCCCATATTCTATCTATATACCTCGGGGGGACTATAACCCTAAACCCTAAATAGTAGTTTCCACGTTCTTTTCCATTATCCCAAAATAACCCCAATATAACCCCTACTGAAA